CTGCCGATGCATTCGTTTTGTCTAGTTGGGATATGCTGTTGTTGCTCTTCCCTTTGTCAAAAAAAGTGACGCTGAGGGGACGTGGAAGGGGAACTGCTCTGGGAGAGGACTGGGGCTGGAAACTGGTTTCAAATACATTGCTCAGTGACTGATGGGACTCCTAAATACCATGGGGTGTTTTCTTTGGCTCTGGTCTCAGGGAGTGAGACAGAGCACTGCGGTGGGGTTTTTTTTCTCTTCTTTTTTTTTAAAGTCTGGTGAATTCAGAATGACTTAATTAAGATTAATTTGTGAAGTAACCTCTAATTCCTATCAAGTGACTAATTCAGAGTTTCTTGTTCACAGTGTCAGTTGCTGTAAATAGCATGATGTGAACTTAGGCTTCTGAGGCCACTTAAATGATTAGCAGGCTCATTAAGAAAGCAAAACCTTTACATCAATTAGAAGATGGCTATAATTTAAGAAAAAAAAATAATATTGTGATGTATTTCAAAGTAAGTTTGAAGCAGCTTCTGTTAGTTCCCTTGATCAGAGTGAAAGGACACAGGTCTCTTATGGTACTTTTTATCAGCTGCCAACTGTTACAGCTATGGTACTATTTATCAGCTGCCAGAAGAATACTTTAAAATAGTTATTACAGCAGTTAAATGATCCAGATGCCCATTTCCTGGGCTGCTGGCATACAGCAACACTGGATTGATCTAGCAATTATTTTTTTATAATCTTATTTATGTGCTATTTACCTGTATTTAGTTTTGTAGAGATTCTGTGAGTCTAACCAATCTTTCTAATATTCCTGGAAGTAAATTCATTTTTTAATTGGCACTAGAAGAAAAGTGTCACAGACAAATCATAGTACATGCTTCAAAAAAAGCCACCCCAAAGTGGTGGATATGAGACAACCAGTACGGATAAGGACTTTAACTACGTTCATACATCGGGCACAGTAAATACATACAGTGAGGAAAGTAAAATATCCAAGTACAGTTGTGTGTACAATGAACAAAAAAATATGGTTAATGACTTTAAAGTCAGATGTTGAATGTCAGGAAATTCATAACATCACTCTTGAAATAAAAATACTGAATGAGATTGTACGGTCTTTCCAACTGCAAATATGCTGCTGCTTCATGTCTTTAAATAGAGAGCTGAGATTTACCTGCAGTATTAAGCCCCTGTAGATTTTAGAGCTCTCTCATTACCCAGGAAAGGTGCCAGCCTGTTCTCAAAAGGGTCTTAAAAAAAAAAAATGTATTCTTTTGGTACAAAACATGCTGGCTGTTTCAAGGTTTTTTTTGCATCCAATGTGTATGACAAGTCATCTTTTCAAACATCCACCCCTCTAATAATGAACTCGGCACATCAAACTGGAGCTGAACGCGTCCTCCCAAGAGAGGGGCACCCAGCTGCACTCACCCTTACTGCCGGGCTGTTGGAGTAACTAACTAGCTCGAGCTCAGAATCCTGAGCTATGAGGATAAATATTTAACACCAATGGAGCCAATTATTCTGATAATCAATGAACGGAAAGATGAATTGTCTCATCTGAAATCGTTGGAGCTGACAAAGACCAAGAAGTTGTCAGTGCTGAAGACGGCCAGGGAGCTATGATGTTAAATTCCCTTTAGCGCAGTTTTCAGCAGCCCCTGTGCTGCAGTCGGTATCGTGGGGGCCGGCCAGCACAGGGGGGTATGCACACAGGGCTGCCATCTCAGCGGGTGTTGGCGTATCCCCGTAGTATCCCTGGCACCGCCGACAGGAATGGTGTGGTTTATTCTACCAACAGAGCAGCTACTGTACAAACTGTGGTGCGACGACTGATCCGCATGACTTACTCCTGTGGTTGGGTCCCGGGGGGGATTTAGGAGCTGCGCCTCACGATTAATTACCAATGACTTTGGTTCCCTTACCCAGCTTCTAAAGATATTTTCCAACAAATGGCAACAGTTTCCTATTTTTCTCACATTGTGATTTCATCAACACCTAAAGCTTTGCTGGGAACTGCATTCAGGCTGCGCAGTTCCCAAGTAGCTCAGCGCTGTGCTTGTCTTTTCTCTTGCAGAAGTGGCCAATGCGTTCCAGGCTATACATTGGAGCTACGGGACAGTTTTTGACTCACTCGGCACAAGGAGACGGCGCAAACCAAGGAGAAACATCAACAACTTCACAAATCTAATTTCCCTTCTTGCTTTGAAAAAAACGTTATTTATTACACCTTATATATATTTAAGTTAAAAAAGAATATCTACAGCCAAATATAATTCCTGAAATTTTGTTTATAGAAGAGAAGGAATTGATTCTTAAGTGTAATTAGTACCTCATTAACTTAATGTGATGCATGATTGGTTTCTAGCGTAGAGGACATTGCTGGGACCTGAGCTGGGGGATTAGGAGAAGACGGCTGCAGTCAGCACCAAGAGGAGGGCAGCCAGGAAGGCAGAGCTGGTACCTGGCAGAACAGGTAACCTCACCGCCCGCGGGAGCGGCGGCGGACGGGTACGCTGTGGGAAAGGGGGGAGAAGGAGCGACGCAGGCTTGGCCGAAAAGCAAAGGGCAAGTCTCAAGCCAGCAGTGGAAATACCGCACGCGCTTTCTGCGCTGCGGGAAGCCGACAGCAGAAATCCCAGCGACCGCAGTTGTCGGGTCAGGGCTTCGGCCTGCAGATAATCTTAAATGTATGTAGTTATTCTTGAAAATGTGGATGCACGTTCACCTCGAGTAAAAACATGCTGAGATCTATCCTGTGTACGCCCAGCGCTACGTACCCCAGACCCAAACTGCTCTGTATGTTAAGTATTGCTTGTATTGATCCATATGATTGTGTTGCATGTTACGGGGTTTAAAATGTGTTGAAGTGTTACCCCAGTACAGCTACTTGCCTGCTCACGATATTGGGGTTCTTTTATCCTCAGGTTCATGCATTCAAGCAAGTGAGCCTTAAGAGTTGGCATGTTTATTGCACATTTTTCACTGAAACTTAAGCAAGAAGAGGTGAAAGTGAAGGCACAAATGCCACCTGATGTATCTGTTCTGTAAAACACTGCACTTCTCATATAGTTTGTTATTGCTGAGGTACACATTTTAATAAACATTATTCAGTGAACATCATGTATTTATTGAGTTGCAAAATCTGTATTGGTTTCTCATTGTACAGGACTGATAATTTCTAATAGTGATATTCTGCATTAATAGTAACTTCTTTCTGAAGACTTGACAGTTTAAGCTTTAAAATGACATTTAGGAAAACAGAAAATAATATGAGTAAGAACAGCCTTTATTTTTAAAAAAATATTTTATTGCTTTTACTCAAGAGTTAAACTTCTGATGTCTTTCAAGAGGTGCTGAGCATGTCATTGCAAATTGACTGTCCCGTACCACAGACAACCAGGCCTCCGGTGTAACAACAAAGTATATAAAAACTAGCAGAGACAAGAGAAAGAGTTGGACAAACCATCTAGGATATGTGAGAGTTGTAAAGCAGGGTAGAATGTGGAACTCCCCTCCATCCCTGCAGCATGCTGAGGTTTTAACAAGATTATTCTTTCAAACAGTAAAAATACTTCATATATATATTTAAACTATTTCAGGCATGTATTTCTTATTTACCATTGTAAGGGATTTATTATGAAAATTACATAGCCAGAGCACCATCAACCACGCAAACTAATCTATTTTGTGAAAAACACAACCTCTTGTTATTGGGACAGCTATTTGTATTCGGAGACATTAACGAGGAGATGCGGAGGAGCTGTAAAGGTGACGATAGTTAAGTAGGATGACAGCGTGACAGAGCAGCGAGGGTTTCCAGGAGTACTGTGCTGTACAAGGTGAAGGTATAAGGCACAGCTTATGCGTTAGACTGAAAAATTGCCAAGTAGCAATGTAGAAGCACAGAGAGTTCAGTCTAGTTTTGTATGTAACTGAGACCTAAACAAATGGCATCAAGTCAGGGGAAAAAGGACAAGCAAAATCTCAGCCAGAAGTCAATGTCAAACCTTGAGCTGCTGCTGTGTAGCAGTGGTCTTATAATAATAAAAACAAAACACATGAATCATGCACACAAAATGGCATAGGGAAAACAAAATGTGGTGATGTTTTGCATCAATTGCATGCTCTTACCTAGCCCGGAGGTCCTAGTTACTTCACAGGCTCTTAAATAATACACCTGGAAGGGACAGAGCTCAAGAAAAAACAAGGGGGGGGGGGGAAGACACATCCCCAGTTTTTAAACACTTCTTCCATTAAATATAATTGAAAGATTCTGACTGCTTATTCATGAAGTAATGGATAGGAATAAGGGTTAGAAACATGGAAAATTACGAATGGATGGCTTGGAGGAAACATCTTTACTCAGACTTCTACAACAATACAGGCAGAGTTTTTACAGCGGTCAGAAGACAGACAAACTGAGCAGCAAACACCGGAGCTACTTTGTACCCACAATGTTTGTATAAATTGTCACCACGTACATTACAATGCAAAGACCTCAGCAGCATTTTATAGATGTATTAAAGGGCAGTAAGAACATGCAGAATTATACCACCAGGTTTTTACTTCAGAAGAACTCCCCATGTCTATGCGTTGGGATTTTTTTTTTTTTCTGAGACAGCTTATTCTGCATCAGCTGCAAATTTTTATGCCTTTTCTTCCAGAGCCAAGACGCCAGGTTAGGCAACCCACTTCCTTCGACCAGGGCGAGAGCTCTTGTCTTCCAGGAATTTACACCAGGATCAAAACTGATCCTCTGAACCTGTTTGCTTCAAACGTGATGTTTGGATCCAACACTGTATTTCTTAGGAACAGTTATTTCCTAATATACTGAAATGTGACAATTTGGCATTTGGCACTGGAAACACACATGTGTTTAGGAATAATACTCTACAGTGTACACACATCGCTATCAAAAGGAACTGTTTTTCATGGAGTAACTTGAAGATCTTAGCAAACCTCAGTTACTGTCACCACAGCTTCTCCTTCAGAGGGACAGGACGGGTAAACTTCACATGGCCACATGCACCAAACCTACGACATACAGATCCTTTTTTCCTCATGCATACAGCTGTAACTACAATACCGTGCCCTCCAGTCACGCGTTGCTGTCTCTTAACACGTACCCTGCCGATCACTCCTTTCTTCCTCAGAGACCGCTCGGACAAAGCGTTCATTGTGCTTGGGTAAAACAAGGAATGACAACACCAAAAAGATATATTTCCCATGGCTTTGACTTCTAAAAGACTGACTACTCGGAACAGAAGCATTTTAAGGTTGAAAACGCTGGGTTTTATTAAGGATACTGTTGTGTAAAGACCCACCAGAAAGAAAGTGCTTCCATCTCAGGTAGTCGTGTTGACTTTCCTAACCCACCTGGAATAAACTCTGACGTTTTCTCAGAGAAGCCGCGACCCCGTGAACTGTCCCACAGATACAGCCCGGCGTGTTCGGGGCCGGCAGGGCTCCCCGGCGGGAGGCAGACCCCAGCCCCACGGACTCCTGTCAGC